GAGGAGGAGGAGGTGGAGGAGGAGTTGGAGGAGGAGGACGGGTCGCCTAAGCCCTTCGGGCAAACCCTCTACACTGGAGAGGGTCGGGATTTTGCGGGGACCCCGCATGGAACAAGTCAAGGCATCGCAGGTTTGGGCATGGGACATTCAGGGTCGACAGTGGCCCGGGCGCCGTGCCCGAGCCCAAGCAGGGCCGCGTCGATCCCTGTCCAGCGTTCTCTATACTGTAGCATGATGGCTGCATGCTGCTGGCCTCTCAGGTCCTCATCGGCCCAGAACCTGGGCTGGAAGCCGAGGTCTTCAGTCGGTCCCCTCCTCCCGCTGCTTCGCCTCCCCTGACCGTCCTCATTTTCATTATGTTTCTTGTCGTCACCCTCCCCTTCACGATCCTCATCCTCGCCTCCTCCTCCTTCTCCTCCTCCTCCTCCTCTTCCTCCTCCTCCTCCTCCTCCTCCTCAGCTCGGGGAGCGAGCAATGACATAAACATCATAACTCGAAGGTCCGCGCGGATTTCCCAGATCGGCCATGGGGCACCCTGGCGGCGCCTCCGGCGCCGCCCATGGCGTGCTCCGCGCGCCAGGGAGGGGGGGCCAGCGCCGATCCGGGACATCCGCGCGGACCTCCGATTTTTCATGTTTACGTCATTCTTCGTCCCCCTATTAGCATCCTCCTCCTGCTCCTCCCTCCTCCTCCCTCCTCCTCCTCCTCCTCCTCCTCTTCCTCCTCAACGTCCTGTCCCTCGACCTCCTCCTTACAGCGGGTGTTGCTAGAAGTACCCCTGGACCAAGGTACCCTCCCAGGATTCTCGGGGTGCCCCGGGTGGCCTCCGGGGCACCCCTCACGATGCCCGGGGGGCCCCACTGGGCTCCCAAATGGAGCGAACGGCTGGGGGCATCTCGGGCCAGGGGCACTTCTAGCAGCACCCGATCACTCCAGATTTCGTAAGAAAGGGAGGGGGGTCTCATTTCGGGGAGGGGGTCTCTTCCAGGCTCTCTTGGAGGGCCTGGGGGGGTGTCTGGGGACGATGTTTGGGAGGGTTCTCCCACGGGGGAGGTCTGAAACGGCTTGTCTTGGAGGATCCAGGCCCCCTCCCTTTTACTACGAAATCTGGAGTATACACTCGAGGGGGCGCTCTGGAGTTCTGCCCGTCGGCATCACCAGCTGGTCCGCTCTGCGGACTTCCGCTTCAGCGGCCAGGCGCGCGCGGCCCGCGCCCAGCGGCGGGGGCCCGCGGGCACGCCGCCGGCCGCGGCCACGGGCGCGCGGGCGACGCAGGCGCGGTCGACCGGCTCGGCGTCAGGAGCCCGGTTTTTGCCGGCTGCGCGTAACGATGGGTTCGTTTTCCACCACCGCCACCGCCAGAAGTAGGAGGGGGAGGGGGTCCCCCTCCTCCTCATCCTCTTCGTCCTCCTCCTCCTCCTCCTCCTCCTCCTCCACCTCCTCCTCCTCCTCCTCCTCCTCCTCCTCCTCCTCCTCCTCCTCCACCCCCTTCCCCCCTCCAACCTATGGTGGTGGTGCTGGAAAACAGGCCCATCACCGAGCGCGTTCCACTACGCGCAAAGTGCCTACTCGCAAACGTCCGAAAAACACATGTCTGCCTCGGTGTAATGTATCGTAGCTCCCCCAAGGCGGATCCGGGCCATCTGCGAGCAGTCACTTTGCGAGGAGTGGGACGTGCTCTTCTATTTGTCGACTGCACGTAAGATCGGAGGTTGATAGACCTCCTACCCTGACACGTCGATTAGCGAATCGGCCGTTTTCGGTTCGCGAGAGGGCGTCGCGGCCGTCATTTTTGCGGGTCCAGGTCCGTCGGTTTCGGTCCTAGGCGGTCTTACTACATGGAGGTTTACCAAAGGGAGGTTTGTCCACCGCCGATAAGAGTGACCTTTCGCCGGAGTGACATTTGGTGCGGGCCCAAACGGCTCCCCTGATCGCTGGGCGCGAAGCGGCAGTAGCGGCTTGCGCGCCTGGGTTTGGCCACCCCGCGTCCCCCGTGAAGCTGCGTCCCCAAGGTCACTCTTACCCAGGGTCACTCTTACGTGTAGCCGATTTTGCACTCGGACGCGGCCATCGGTCTCGAGCTCTGGCCTTCCCTTCCTCCTCCTTCTCCTCCTGATCCTCCTCCTCCTCCTCCTCCTCCTCCTCCTCCTCGTGATCCTCCTCCTCCTCCTCCTCCTCCTCCTCCTCCTCCTCCTCCTCCTCGTGATCCTCCTTCTCCTCCTCATGATCCTTCCCCCGAGGCTCGTGAGGACTGTGCCCCTTCAGAGTTGAGCGGAAGCAGCAAGGAAGGTCATGGGTCATGGAGTGCCCCCCCCGCCCTCCCAGCCAGTCGCTCAGCCCGCTGCTGTCGCAGTCCAGCTCCAGGGCGCCACTGTGAGTGGCAGCAACCGCTTTCGCGCGTTTGCGTCGGTGCCCACTTGGTGTGGGGTCGCTACGAGCACGAGCAAGTCGAACTCAGCAGTTGGTCGCGAGCCGAGCAGGCATGCGTGCTCCCGCTCCCGCTCCCGCCCCCGCTGTCCCGGCCGCTCGTCGGCCCCGGGCCCAGCACGGCCGCGTCGGAGTGGGGCACCCCGGCGGGTGGCTCCGACGGCGCCCCCTCTCACTGCCCCCCAAACCACCCCAACCCAACCCGAAGCCCTCAACTTGCCTTCCATTTCCAGTGTGGGGGGGGTCGGGGAACGCTGGAAAAACACATGGGATCCGTTTCCCCCCCCCCACCCCGAAAGTCGGGCCAAAAATTCGGGTCTTCGGGCTGGGTTGGGGTGGTCTGGGAGGTAGCCACCCTCTCACTGCCCCCCCGGGGCTCGCCGCCAACCCCTGGCCCGCCCGGTCGCCCGGGGCCGCGCCACGGGGGCAGAGAACGGCTCCAGGCGCCCTGCGGCGGCCCCTGGCGCCCCTGGGCGGCAGAGCGGCGGCGACCGCCGCGGCGCCCGCGGCGCCCGCGGGCGCGCGGGCGGCGGGCCCCGCCCCCGGCGCTCTGGCGGCTGCCGCGCGGGCCCCCGTGCCGGTGACCTTCTCGCCGAGCTTCACGCTGGTGCCCACCTACGAGTGCTTCAACCGCTGCGCCTACTGCAACTTCCGCGAGGACGTCGGGCCGGACGAAAATGGAGGGGGGGGACTGGGAAAGGGGGGGGGGTACGAAATCTGCTGCACGCAGCTGGTTTCGGCCCCACCGAGGGGCCCATGCCTCGATACATGGTCGCCTCCGGCGCCGGGAGGCGCCGGGAAAATCAGCTACGTGGGCTGATTCTCAAACTCCCCCTTTGCTATCCCCCCCTTTCGCCCGACCCGAGAGGACGTCGGGCGGGGCGCGGGCTGGATGTCGCCGGAGGTCGCGCAGGAGCCGTCACCGGCCGGAAGCCCAGGGGTCGGATGGCGTCGACGAGACGCCTGCACCGCTTGTGGCCAGGCCGATCACGGGCTCACGACATCGACAGGTTCGAGGTTCGAGGTTCGAGAGTTTCGGACGTTCGTCGTCAGTTCTCGGCTTCCTTCCAGCCGCGGCATGTTCTCCAGCAGCCGCGCCTCGCGAAGAGCGTTCCGGGGATGCCTAGATCGTCTTGAATGGCCGCCGGCGACCCGAGTTATAGTCAGGAGGGACAAACAAAAACACAGACACAATCAATCGTCGATCCCCCAGAAAAATACGGGAATTGGGCGGGAAGACAAAAGCCCAGAAAGTATGGGGAATCATGTTATTTGTGTGTCTTTACTTGTGTGTCCTTGGGCCCCTTGATCAATGGGGATGCAGTGGCCTTCGAAGTGCCCACTCGTCGCCGGCAGGGGCCCGAGAGCCCGCTCCGCCGGTGGGGCTTCGCTCTCGGGGGTGGGTTGCCGATCTACCGTTGCTGTCTCTCGGGAGGGGAAAAAGCACACACAGGCACGATGCATCGGCGATCCCCACGAAGAGATGGGAAAGTACGGGAAGTGGTGGGGAAGACGAAGGCCCAGAAAATACGTGAGCGATGGGGAATCCTGGGATTCGAGCGTCTTCGCTTGTGTGTCCCTGGGCCCCCTCAGCATCGCCGATTCCAGGTCGATGTTTCCTCCACGGGGTGGGTGCCCCCTGTCGCTCCCCCTCGGTGTAGACGCCTCCCTCGCCGCGCCAGAGCCCTGGAGAGACCTGGCCAGGATCGGTGCAGGCGTGCAGCGCCCTCCTGCAGGGAGGGGACGACCAGGACCAGGGGCCAGGGGCGTCGAGGAGGGGGGAGGATTAAGTCGGGCCTGTCCCTCTACAGGAGGAATGTTCCGAAATAGTCAAACATTAGTATGGGGACGACTTCACGAATATTTGTGTGGATCATGTTTGAGTATTTCTGTGGTCTTTCTGGAATTCATTCTTCGCCCAAGATCCTCCTGTGGGGCGGACGTGCCAGATCTAATCCTACAGGGAGGGGGCCAGGACCAGGGGCCGGAGGCGTCGAGGAGGGGGGAGGACCAGGGGGTCGGGGGTGGACTGAACCCCCAACAGTGACGCGTCGATTCGTGAATTGTCCGTTTTCGGTTCTCGAGAGGGCGCCGCGGCCGTTATTTTCCAGGCTTGCGCCCGCCAGGCTTGGGCCTCGGGTCGTTGTCACCAAACCACGTTTTGCTAAAGGGGGGTCTGTCCATCCCCGAAGACCTCGTATGGAAGAAAATCCATCGCTTCTCGTCCTCGGCGGGATCGACCACGAATGTCTGAGAGACGTGCTGGAAATGCCCGTCGTGCCCCCGACGTTCTACGAAAGGGGGGTCTGTCCATCCCCGGGGGGGGCTGGCGGCGCGCAGAGGATCCAGGCGATCGCGAGGCGTGGGTCCAATGGAGGCGTGGAGCAGCGTCGGGGCCCTGCTCCCGTGGGGCCTCTCGCGCAGGTCCGCCGCCGGGCGGGGCGGCACGAGCCGCCTTTTTTGGGGGAGGGCACCTCTCAGGAGGGAAGGAAACACGCAGACACAATGAACCTCCTCCTCCTCCTCCTCCTCCTCCTCCTCCTCCTCCTCCTCCTCCTCCTCCTCCTCCTCCCGACGATTCCCGAGAAAATATGGGAAACTATGGGGGGAAGGCAAACATCCAGAAAATAGGGGAAACCATGGGGGGTCCTGCTATTCATGTGTGTTTCTTGGTGTGTCCCAGAGCCCCTTCAACCTCCCGCGGTCCATGCATTTGGCGGCGGCGCGCCGAGCCCGTGGATCGCTGAGATCCGGGCCTGCGCGCCCCCGGGGAGGAGGGCGGCGCAAGGGGGGGGGGGCCTCGTGTACGAAGGCAGCGGGCTTCTCCACGGAGGCACGGAGTGCTCGCGTCGCGAGAGCCCCTCCCGGCTTTTTCAGGGCGCCTTCTCGGTGGAAGCTTCCGGGCCCTTCAAGAGTCGAAGACGGAGACACGCCGTAAGCAGAAACTGTTGGCTCTCCGCGCGGATTTCTTGGATCCGCGCTGGGCCCCCCCAGCGGCGTCTCCGGCGCCGCCCCTGGCGCGCTCCGCGCTCCAGGTAGGGGGGTCTGGCGCAGATCCAAGAATCCGCGCGGAGCGCCACCAGTTTATGCTCATAGCGTTTCTCCTTCTGCTACAGTAGCGAATGAACAATGGGCAACCGACCCCAGCCTCACGACTACTGATTTCAGGTGTCAACGTTCTGCAATTCTGGCAGATGTGCGTCAGTGTAGGCGCCCTGTAAGTGAGGCCAGTGCCGTCGACTTGGTCTAAGATTCCTCATGTGGGGGGCGGGGGTCGCTTTTCATCCGGAGGTTGATAGACCTCCTACCGTGACACGCCGATTAGCGAGTTCGCCGTTTTCGGTTCGCGAGAGGGCGTCGCGGCCGTCATTTTTGCGGGTCCAGCTGCGTCGGTTTCGGTCCGAGGCCGTTTTCACTAAAGTCGGAAATTGGAGCATATACATTACCAATGGAGGGCGGTTTCTCAATCCCAGGATTTTTTTGAGGGTCGGGGACGACGTCGGGGTGGTGTGGTGTATACTTGTTCCCCGCTTTCCGGGGGAAACAACGAAGAATGTATACACCAGGATCCTGCATACACCAGGACCCGCTCTCCTGTGTGAGATTCCGCGTGAGGCCAGACACAGGTGTTTTATTAAAGGGAGGTTTGTCCACCGCCGGTTCATATTCAAAACCAGTCAAAAAATAGTCTGGGGACTATCTTTTGGAGTATTTTGGGGCGTCTTTTGGGAATTTTTACTTAGCAGGGAAGACTGATAGGTTTCTAGTAGTGTCAAAAGAGAGCATCTTGACTCCCCAGGGGGGTCTGGGCAGGATCCGGGGAGAATCCGCGGAAGTCGTTTTAAGCAAACGGTTACACACTTCGTGGTCTTCGAGGTCCCAGAACTCCATTCCTGGGCCACATTCTGAATGCCCGGAGCCAACTGTAGGCCACTTCGTGCTCTTCGAGTTCCCAGAACTCCATTCCCGGGCCACATTTTGAATGCCCGGAGCCAACTGTAGGCCACTTCGTGCTCTTCGAGTTCCCAGAACTCCATTCCCGGGCCACATTTTGAATGCCCGGAGCCAACTGTAGGCCACTTCGTGCTCTTCGAGTTCCAGAACTCCATTCCCGGGCCACATTTTGAATGCCCGGAGCCAACTGTAGGCCACTTCGTGGTCTTCGAGTTCCCAGAACTCCATTCCTGGGCATGATTTTGAATGCCCGGAGCCAACTGTAGGCCACTTCGTGTTCTTCGAGTTCCCAGAACTCCATTCCCGGGCCACATCTTGAATGCTGAGGCAGGCTGATGCTGAGGCTGAGGCTGAGGCTGAGGCAGGCTGAGGCTGAGGCCGAGGCTGAAGGCAGACTGAGGCTGAGGCTGAAGCAGGCTGAGGCTGAGGCTGAGGCTGAGGCTGAGGCTGAGGCAGGCTGAGGCTGAGGCTGAGGCAGCTGAGGCTGAGGCAGGCTGAGGCTGAGGCTAGGCTAGGCAGGCTGAGGCTGAGGCAGGCTGAGGCTGAAGGCAGGCTGAGGCTGAGGCTGAGGCTGCGAGGCTGATGCAGGCTGAGGCTGAGGCTGAGGAGCGCTGAGGCTGAGGCCGAGGCCGAGGCTCAAGGCAGATTGGCTGCAGGCTGAGGCTGAGGCTGAGGCAGGCTGAGGCTGAGGCTGAGGCAGGTGATGCTGAGGCAGGCTGAGGCTGAGGCTGAGGCTGATGCAGGCTGAGGCTGAGGCCAGCTGAGGCTGAGGCCGAGGCTGAAGGCAGACTGAGGCTGAGGCTGAGGCTGAGCAGGCTGAGGCTGAGGCTGAGGCTGAGGCTGAGGCTGAGGCAGGCTGAGGCTGAGGCTGTGACTGCGACTGCCGTTGCCACTGCGACTGTCATCGCGAATGCGACTACGACTGCGAGAACAGCAGAATTCTACAACTGGATTCTCATCTGAATCGTAAGGGGAATGCTTCCAGATATGCTCCTACACATCGCTGTTAGGTTGCTTTGCCAGGATAATTGTGTATTTGTCATTCCTCGTCCAGAACCCCCCTGTAGGGACATCTTTTGAGTATTTTGGGGCATCTTTTGGGCATTCTTTCTGCGTGTGCTTCATTCTTCGTCCAGAACCCCCCCCCTGGAGGGGGGACGTGCCCGCCTTCACAGCAGGCCCTCGCCCTCCAGGCAGCCGGCCGGCCCTGCCGCTCCCCCCCCCCCCCTTGGGGCGCGCGCCGCGTGCGGGGCCCGTGGGCGTCTCTCGGCCCGGCGTGGGGCCGCCGAGCTCTCCGCGGGCCCCCCGTCTGCCGCTTCTCGCCCACCGAGCGCGCGCTCCTCGTCCTCGGGGGAGGGAGAGGTCGGAGGTTGGGGCTTTCTGCAGGGCCTCGGGGGCGGACAGAACCCCCCGAGGAACACCATCTCTGAGTCGTACCGCCCGGGACCTTGCCGGGGTACTTTTCGTCCGGGGACCCCCTGGGGCCCGCCCCGCGCGCGCGAGGCAGAAGTGCTGAAAGAAAGCTACCGGAGATCTTGGCACGCCTCTGTCGGGGGGGGGACAGAACCCCCAACAAGTGACGCGTCGAGTAGTGAGTTGTCCGTTTTCGGTTCTCGAGAGGGCGCCGTGGCCGTCATTTTCCAGGCTTGCGCCCGCCGTCTGTCCATCCCCGAAAAGGTGCCCACACCGCTACCCTTCCCTCTTTTTCCCCTTTTTGGGCCTCCTGGGCGGCCCTCGTCGCCACCTCCGGATTCGCTCCGAGATCCTGGCCAGAACGCACCCCGGGAGTGGTCTGGGGGGTAGCGGTATCGGTACCTTTTGGTTTCCCCGCTACTCGCAAAGTGCTTGCTCGCAAACGTCCGAAAAGCGCCTGTCTCCCTCCTGTGTAAATGATCGCAGATCCCTCGCGGCGGATCCGGGCCATTTGCGAGCAGTTACTCTGCGAGTCGTGGAGCGCGCTCGTCCATTCTCTCCCTGCGTCGCCTGGCCCCCCCTCGTCGTCAGCACACGCGTGTTGGGCCATGATGCGCCGATCCCCCTTCTTCATGGCCCTCCATCCTCTCGGCGCACCCGAGGGGAGTGAGTTCGGGCAGGAGAGGGCGACCTCTGCCCCGAGGGACCTCGATCAGGGTCCATGGCATCATGACGGGCAGTGCCTCTTCTGACGGGGTCGCTTGTGCCAGGTAGCCTGAAGAATTTGCACTCGCCGTCTGACCATAGTTACAACTTCATCGGAGACGCCACGTATTTCGCATGGATCCTGTCCCACCACTGTCCCCTTGTAGTATGATACGAATTGAGGGTAACCGTAGAATCCGAGGACGACTTACCGAGGGCACGGGGCTAGGCACCTTCTAGCACTTCGTTGAAGCTCTCCTGATCTAATTTTCCTCAGGCGTCTTTTTCTGGTTTTACTGAGCTGCTCCTCTGGGTTCCGACGTTTGGACCGTCGCGGGTTTGATCACTGGACCTCGCCCTCGCCGGCGTCGTGGTCGTCGTCGTCCTCGCCGCCGCTACCGCCGCCGCCGTCGCAGTCGCCGACGTCGCCGCCGTCGTCGTCGTCGTCGTCGTCGTCGTCGCCTTCGCCGCCGCCGCCCCGCTCGTGGTCTGTCGCGGTCGCCGCCGCCGCCCTCGTCGCCTTCGCCTCCGCCGAGCCCGTGGGAGCTCCCGGGCGCGCCGGGGCGCGCTCGCGTCCGTGCGCCGCCTGGGGGTTCCGTGGCGCGTCCCTGCCGGGCGCACCGTGCCAACTTTGCCTGACGTTGTGCCACAGCTGTTCGATGACAGGGCTCGAGCTGAATGGTGTTTTGGCAGTTTCGTGGACCGTCTTCGTTTTGACCTCGTTTTGCAGCAGGTGTGGAACGAAGACAGGACCAGGGGTGACGAAACCAAAACGAAGACGGAAGACACTGTTTAACTCGAGCCCTGTTCGATGATCCTGAGCTCCTGGGCTGGCCCCCGAGAGGCTCCCAAGACGGCCCGTTTCGGGAGCCCTCGGGTGGGCGTGTTGGGGTGTCTGGGGCCACTCTTGGGGCACGCGTGCAGGAGGAGGAGGAGGAGGAGGAGGAGGAGGAGGAGGAGGAGGAGGAGGAGGAGGAGGAGGAGGAGGAGGAGGAGGAGGCACGCCCCCCCCAGGCCAGTTGGGTCGAGGCGCGCGCGGCTCGAGCCTGCCGTGCGCGCGCCTGCTCCGCGGCGCCGCTCTCGGGGCGGAGGGCGCGCGAGGCTCCGATGCCCAAGCGGCGGCGAGAGCGCCTGCGGCCCGCGGTCCGCGCGGAGCCAGTCGCGGGCCTGCCAGAGATCTGCAGCCCGCCAGGATGCACCATCAACTTCGACTGGCCGCGGCCCGACGAGCTGGTGTTCCTGTACACCACCGACGGCGGGCAGCACATGATCCGCCGGATGCGGGTGGACGGCAGGCCGACGGAGGTCGACGCGGGGGGCTGGAGGGCTCTCCCCCAGGCGAGCCTGAACGGCGCCGAGTGGTTTATGTGCGACGTCGAGACTGGAGAACTGGTTTTCACCCTTGATCGGAAGATCATCTGGGTCAAGCCCGAGGGTGGCGAGAGGAGTGTCGAGGTAGAAGAGCGGCTTTTAGGTGAAGGTTTCAGCATCGGCACCGTGCTGAGCAGACGTGGTCGTATGTTCTGCTTCAACTTTCTCATGTCCGAGCTTTACCTCCTGGCGCGGGATGGGAGCATAGAGGTTGGGCCGTGTCGTCTTCCACAGGGCCCCTGGGACGATGAATCCATGTATCTAGCTGCTTGCGGCAAGTCCCGTCACCGTGCCAGCCCAGCATTCTGGCTGTTCGAGGGGATACGGGAGGCCGTCACGTGTGACACCTCGTGTCCACAAGACTTGGAGAACTGTGATAAGGATGGTGAGGATGATAAGGATGATGGCGACACGGAGGAGGAGGAGGAGGAGGAGGAGGAGGAGGAGGAGGAGTAGGAGGAGGAGTTTGAGGAGGAGCAGGAGGAGGAACAGGAGGAGGAATGCCGTAGGCGTCATGGGGTCGTCTTGGATGTCTCTTGGGCCATCGCGGGGTTCTCTTGGGCCGCTTTGGGACCCTCCGGGGGCCTCTTGGACCGTCTTGGGGTTGTCTTGAAGGCTTCTTGGGCCGTCTTTCGCTGACGGGTGCCAGAAGACGATCATATGAATATCATGCAGAAGCCGACGGTACAGTAATGAGTTTGGCTACTTCGGACCCTGTTGAGGGTCATCGTTGTGATCCTCGTGGGTCCTCTTGGACGCATCTTGGGCTTTGTCGTCGTGAAGCCATCATGGGCCGCTTTGAAGCCATCTTGGGCCGTCTTGGACGCATATGTGGCCTTCTTGCTGGCCTTGGTTGCTTGCCTGAGCCGTCTTGGGAGCTCGGGAGCGCGAATCATTTGTTTTTGAGAGGGATCGTGGAATGGGGAGCGCAGACCCATATTTTTTAACGGAGGATCGTGTCCTCGGGAGGAGGGGGGTTGCATGCAACACTCTGCGGTGAGAGAAGGGGATCCTTCCGAATAGTATGGAAACCTCGCCAGGCAGCCCTTGGCATTCCGTCACGCTGCAGCGTGCCATGGGGGCACGACGGCCGATTTCCAGCACGTCTCTCAGACATTCGTGGTCGATCCCGCCGAGGACGAGAAGCGATGGATTTTCTTCCATACGAGGTCTTCGGGGATGGACAGACCCCCCTTTAGCAAAACGTGGTTTAGTGACAACGACCTGAGGCCCAAACCTGGCGGGCGCAAGCCTGGAAAATAACGGCCACGGCGCCCTCTCGAGAACCGAAAACGGACAATTCACTAATCGGCGTGTCACTGTGGGGGGTTCTGTCCACCCCCGAGGTCTGCGATATACCGCTGGGACCTTCGCAGGGGGCAGGTGGACTGCATCGTCGGCCGAGAGGCCGAGGGCGCCGTCGCCGAGGGCATCCGCGAGGGCGTCGGGCCCAGCGCGCGGCTGCTCGGGATGCGAGTCAGCCAGGCCTACCCCGACGTGCAGATCCCCAATCTGCAGAGGATGTGCAGCGGCCTCTACGCGCGGCCGTGCGGGGGGGCGTACTACCGGCTCGACACGCACAGCCACGAGCTGCTGCGGGTGGACGTCGTGGACCTCCACGGGAACCCGCTGGCGCTGCCGTGGGCGAACGTTCTCTCGTCTCCCCGGGACGCGGAGCGCCTGACCGTCGTCATCTTCGAGGACGAATACTGCCGGGTCAAGGAGGTATTCATGGTCGACGTCTCTGTCGACCTCAGTCTTCCAACCGTCGAGACGGACCTGCAGGAGACCGCCCTTGTGCTTTTTTCCCCGCCTGGCGACATAACGTGCGCGACCGGGCCGTGGAGGGGAAGCTCGGGAGGAGGGGAGGCTTTTCGCGTCACGATTCGCGCCCGCGCTGCCAAGGGATGCTGAGGAAGGCCTCGTTTCCGGACGGCGCCGGCGCGAATCGTGAGGTGGCCAGGGGGGGGGGAGGCGGGGCCAGGGGGGGGAGGGGGGGGGGAACCAGGGGGGGGAGCGCGTGACTGGGTGACCAGGGGGGGGAGGAGCCAGGGGGGGGAGAAGCCAGGGGGGGGAGGAGCCAGGGGGGGGAGGGCGTGACTATAGGTGACCAGGGGGGGGGGGAGGCGGGGCCAGCCATGGGCGGTATCGCGAATCATAAGAAGCGGGCTCCAGGGCATCGACTGGACCATGCCACTCCGCCACGTGCAGTTCGACGTCGGCGACCCCCCCGCCCGCCTCGTCCTCGACGCGCGGCTGCTGACCGCGCGGAGCCTGTATTTCGCGCGCGCCCTGGGGAGCGGCATGCTCGAGAGCCGCGAGGAGACGGTCATCCGGTTGAAGCACGTGACCCTGGAGGCCATGCGGTGCTTCGTGCACTACCTGCACACGGACGCCTTCGAGCCCGAGCCAGCAGCGGCCTCCGAGGGCCAGGAGGAGACGCCCGATCGCTGCTTGGCGAGGGGTCGGCTGTGCCTCGAGGTCTACCAGCTCGCCGACCAGTACGCCGTGTTCCGGCTCCGGAAGCTTGCGCTCCTCCGGCTCCGGTCGACCCTCGGTGCCGCCACGGCGCTGCCGCTGCTGCAGGAGGCCGTGGGTGACCGCGCCTGGGACTCCTCGGAGGAGCTGCCCCGCGCGTGCTGGGAGGCGTGCTCCTCCAGGGCGGCGAGGCCTCTACGTGCCCACCTCTGCTGGCCAGGCCCAGCCTTGGCCCAGGAGCGGTGTACACGCCCCCTGGCTTGGCCAGGGAGAGATCCACACTGCTCCGGGGTCCAAGGGTGGGCCTGGCCAGCGGCGGTGGACAGGCATAGATCTCGTCGCCCTGTCCTCGCACTGGGGCGAGATCGTGCGGAGCCACGCCGGGGCCGTGCACAGCCTGGTGCGGCGGCACCCGCTCCTCGCGGAGCGCCTGCTTCGCGCCGCGGCGTCGCTGGCCTCGGTGGCCCCGGCCCCGTCCGAAGCCATGCCCGCGGAGGTTTAAAATCCGGCCACCTTTGTCGGGGGCGTCCAGGAGGCGAGGACGGTGTGTATGTGCGGACACAGGAGGTTCTCGTCGTGTCCACCAGCGGCGACCCCGCCGTCGGCGTTCAACGCTGAACGCCACCCGCGATCCAGAGTCGGTCGATTCTGAGCGATCTGACGTTTCCGGAAACTGCGGATCGTTCCAGGTGGAACGATCCCCGCAATGCCAGGAACCAATGCCACGGGCTCGACACGACACGGACCCGCGGCATCACGGCCGGGGCCACGCTTTTTTCCCAGGTTTCGTGCCCCCTCTGTTCCTCCGCGTTCCCGGGCCCCTCCTCCTCCACGCACGTGCCTGGGGCGCCCTGGCGGCGCCTCCGGCGCCGCCCCTGGCGTGCTCCGCGCGCCAGGCAGGGGGGTCCAGCGCCGATCCGAGAAATCCGCGTGGACCTCCGAGTTTTTATGTTTATGTCACTTTTTGTTCCCCTATGCTTTGATTCAGGGGATGTGAGCGCGCTCTTCGTCTCTGTCCTCCCTCCCTCGCGGCCGCCTCCTTCCGTTTCTTCCTCTCGCGTCCGGGCCCATCGGCATCGCCACTGCCCGGCCTGCCGAGCGCGCGTGGGTACGGACTCGGCCGCGCTGCGACGTGCCGTCGGGGCGGGTTGGCAGGTCGACCCTGCCAAATCAAGGGTGCTCTTGCGTCCTGTGTTCGGCGACCCATGCCTGCTACATTCCTATGGTCAGTATCGTTTAACCATTCCCCATCCCCATCCCCATCCCCTTCGAGACACCCACAAAAAAATTACCACCCCAGTTGGGGATACACCCCTCGAAACCCGAAGGGAACGGCCTATCCCCCATCTAGGAGGGTAAATCGGCCAGTGGGGCCCAGGCAACGCCACTGGGCATGGGGGTCGGACAAACGACGCTCTATGGCAATGTGGCCCTCGGAAGGGTCTTGTGTCCTCTCGCGTGTCCTCTCCAATCGGCCTCGACTGTAAAAGAAATGCTTTCATCACTCAGAGCTTCTGGAGTCGGTCGCTGGTGCAGTGAAACCGTCGGTGGGAAGTCCGGGGCCACGCCCCCGCGGGCTGCGCGTTTTGCTCCGTTCGTCGTGGACTCCTGTTGGGGAGCACTGTGGGGAGGGCCCTGCGTGGTCATTTTGGGGCTGGTTTGGGGCTCCGTGTTCTGTCTCAAGGGAGGAAGAGCCACCCAGACCCGGCAATTGACGTTTACTGAACGGTCAGCGGCGCCGTAACGGGTATTCACTAACGGGTACTTTGCAAAATTGCCGAAAGTTGCCACTTTAGGGCCTCTTTCTGGCATTGCAGCGTTGCCCACATCGGGGAGGATTGGGTTCGCTGGGCCACTGGCCAAAGTACCCGTTAGTGGAGTCCCCGTTAGAAGGGCGCTGAAACGGCCCTGGGCGTTTACCAAACAGCCCCGCCCTGTTCGATTCCTTCCTTGGGCGCGTTCACTAAACGGCTTCGCTTCTCGGGGTGGTTCTCATCGGGGTGGATTTTCTGCCCTCTACTGTTTGCCGCTGTCACGTCGCGCTGCCCGCATGCAGTTGCTGCTGACTCTTGGTCCTCGTCCTCCGCGGCTGCCGCGGAGTCCCCGGGGGTTGGTCTCTCGGAGGCCTGGGGGCTGGTCTCTCGGAGCTCTCTCGCGACTCCCGAGGGGCTTCTCGGGGCCCTCCGTGGGTCCCTGCCGCCGCCTCTTCCCTCTCTCTGCTCGCCCCCTTGCCGGCCGAGAGGAGAAGCTGGCGCCGCTGCGCGCCGCGGGCGTGGCGGAGGTGCTGGTGATGAGCGGCGAGGCTCGGGGCCGTGCTTCCCGGGAGGCGGCGGCGGAAGGAGGAGGGAGGAGGCAGGAGGCAGGCAGGCAGGCAGGAGGCGGGCGGGGCGGCAGGAGACTGGAGGAGGAGGAGGAGGAGGAGGAGGAGGAGGAGGAGGAGGAGGAGAGGAGGAGGAGGAGGAGGAGGAGGAGGAGGAGGAGGAGGAGGAGGAGGAGGAGGAGGAGAGGAGGAGGAAGAAGGGGAGAGATGAGGAGAATATGGGGGGGCGAGGGAAGAGAAGGATGAGGGGGGAGGCAGGAGGAGGAGGAGGAGGAGGAGGAGGAGGAGGAGGAGGAGGAGGAGGAAGAGAAAATGATGGTGATGATGATGATGATGATGATGATGATGATGATGATGATGATGATGATGATGCTGATGCTGATGCTGATGCTGATGCTGATGCTGATGATGCTGATGCTGATGCTGATGCTGCTGCTGCTGCTGATGATGATGATGATGATGATGCTGATGATGATGATGATGATGATGATGATGGTGCTGATGCTGATGCTGATGCTGATGCTGATGATGATGATGATGATGATGATGATGATGATGATGATGATGATGATGACGATGATACTGATGCTGATGCTGATGTTGATGCTGATGATGATGTTGATGATGAGGATGAGGATGACGAGGAGTAGGCCGTAGCCATTTTGGCTCAAGTCCGAAACCCGTGCCGCGGGGGCTCGAACTTGTAGGTTCCCACAGCCCGCGGCAACCATCATAGGGGGCGCACAGCCGCATTCGTTCGGCGAGCGGTCTTCCGAGATCCCCCCTCTCTCTCATTTGCGTGGGCAGTGTGCGGGCGCGCAGACCAGGCACCTGGCATGCCGTGGGCTTGGCTTGCACTACAGTGAGGTCGGGCATGTCCCTCTACAGGAGGAACATTCAAACATAGTCAAAAATAGTCAGGGGACGATTTTCTATTATTCTGACAATTTTGGAGTATTTGTTGACTCTTTCTGTATTGTTCTTCCAAAATCCGCCTGCAGGAGGACATAGCAGACCTAACCCTACATGGGGTTGTAAGTCGAACGCAGTACACTTTGCATGGTGCGACCACTGCGGGTCAGAAGTCCCGCTTGTATCTCAGCAAGAAGTTCCCCCCTCGTGGACTCTGCGTTCGTAATCCTTGGGTGCGGACGTGAGCAGGGGGAGGAGGATACAGCGGCTACGGCAAGGATAAGTCCAGAGGACTGGGCAAAGGAAACAGTCGATATAACCGATGTGGACAATGAGGTGATGGGGATGGAAGTGGGGGAGGCGAAGGACGGGATGATGAGCGTCGTCGTCGGCCTTCAACTGGACCCAATGATGAGCCCCATCGGGTATACCAATTGGCCAACAGCAAAGCTTCCCCTTTTCTTCCAAGTGTCGTTCAAGCATTGGAATATTCAGTGTCGCGCATCCAGAAACACAGAAACCACAAGCGCCTGTCAGCAAGCAGCTTCACATGTACGAGCAGGAAATTCAGAAGCGTGAGAGCAGGATCCGCAAACTTCAAGAGGAGCCGACGGCAATTCTTGAACAGCTACGGAACCTCCCGGAACAGTGCGATGATATCGAGGATCATATTACCAAAGAAGAAGGGGGTCTTGACGAAGCTTGGAAGGCAGTGCAGACGGAGGGGGCCGGAGGAATTCCAGAACAGGCCCTTAACTTGCGGTGCGAACCTTGCTTGCTTCGCTCGCCTCCCTGGCCCCCAACATACCGAATGAAGAGGCCCGTCGCCACTTGTAGGCCCAATCCGAAGTAGTGCAGCAACTGGTTAGCTACCTGCACGCGCTCGCGCCCCCCTTTACGCAGCCAGTCTGCCCACCGCCGGTGCAGGACGACCTGGCAGAGGAGGGCAGGGCAATGCAGCAGCAGCAGCAGCAGGAGAATAATCAGGACAATCTCCAGCTATGGAAGTTGGTGAGGAATCGGAGCGGGTCGAAACATTCCCAGAATCAGCAGTCGCATTTGAGAAAAGAGCTCTCGTCGATGCCTTTCGCGCGTGTCGGTCAAGAAGGGCTAAACGAGCAGGCCAGCATCGACGACCAGGGGCAGACAGGGCAGATGAAGACTCATGCGTGGCAGCTTGGCACCCTCCCTCCACGTTGGAAGCGGGGACTCAAAGAAAGTGGTTGGCAACGCTACGGCGACGTTACCAGCGACCGCTATCGCCCTTATGAAGGTTGAGGCACAGGGCCCGAGACCAGCGGAGACCCTTGAAGGATCTGCGCCAGGGCCCGCGGCATCGTTCAGAAGGGAGTTTCAACAACGGCGGGGGGATGTTCGGCATCTCTTGGTTTGTCTTGGGGTTTTGGGGTTCACCCCGCCACATAAGGTTGACAAGTCTTGGGAGAAGGCGCAGCACGCAAGGAGAGGATCCAGCCAACAGCAGGTTTGAATATCTACACCGCGAGCTACACGAAGTGGAACGATGGCACCACGGAGTATATAGCAGCGGATCCCATGCAACATTTTGTCGCCAGCAAGGGTTTTGCAACGCATTTGCGAGGGGGACCTCTCCTCCAAGAGCAAAGGAGTCAAACGAAACGCAGGCGGCAATTCTACCTCGCCCCCAGCGGTTCCGTCGGCCAAAGAAGCCAATTCGGGCACGGTGGGGCCTGGGTCTTGGCCAGGACCACAATTCACTCAGGCCTTGCGACCGTGCAGAGTCGACCCGGGTGGACAAGAAGTGTTTGTTGGCATCCAGTGGGTTGGCAGGGCGGCGACGTTTTTTTGGTGCATTTGAGAGGGGGTCGTCGGCGCAAGCGGCCTAATCTTAGAGGAACGCGCGGGGTACCTCCTCGCAGCCGCCAAACACCTCATCGCCACGGCGGACTGGAGTATGTCCCCGGAGCAGTTTCGGGACTCGGGATTGCCGACGCGCGCGCGGGGCCGTTAAGGTTCCATCAGGAGTGCTCGCTAACTCGCGAGGTTCGGGAAGCGCCCTGGATTGCGAGGCGGGCCTCGAACATCTGACATGCTTGGCGCGGCTTACATTGGGTAAGCAGTGATTCTGGGCAGCGCGGCTAGGAGTTCTAGGCGAACTAGATCTCACTCGCGAAACCATGGGACGCCGTGTTCCAGCGTCTGTTGCACCCCTCCTCCCTCGACCCCTTGGACCCGACCTGCTGGGGGGGCATCTCCGCCAGAAGGCAGGCGCTGATCTGGCGCCTGAGCGCCGCCAGCGTTGGCCCGGGGCAGCGTTGTCGCACCTGGGTAATCAGCGCGCCGAGTCCACGTAGGCAGAGTCGCTCCTCTTGCACAGGGCAGGCAGGAACGCTGGGGGGAAAAAAAAGCAGAAGCGAGGCGGGCGCCAAGCAGCGCGGTTCCGAGGCTTCACTCGGGTAAAACCACCAGGGCGCTTTCGGGCGTTCGAAGAGAATTCGTTTCTGAGGAGGTCTTCAAGCTCGCTCCAGATTTCAGGGGCTTCGCATGCTGGCGGACAAGGCTTCGGCGCCCCCCCCCCCTGCGCATCGACGAGCAGGGCGCCGGCAACTGCTCGCTTGGAAGGGCGATGCCCAGGTCGCTCAGTACGCGGCAGCCGTGCCAGAGAACGCTGCAGCATCAGCATGTGGCAAGGTACTCGCAGCGCTGTCTTCGCTCCCCGCTATCAAAGAGGAGCTCTCTGAAGTGTCGAATGCAGCCCAATGGGCCCTCGCAGAGGTCACCGCGGCGGCGATTGCGGGAAACTGCTGTGTCTTCTGCGAGTTTTCGAGCGGCAGCTCGTCGTCGGGGGGGGGCGGGGGCGCCGCTTCACCGGCGCTGGGCGGCAGGGGTATCCGACGTTGGCAGTTGAGCGAGACGAGCGCGGGCATTTTTTTGCAATCGAACCCTTGATGTCCACGGGGGCCAGGGCGGACAGGTGGGCGAAGTTGCGTGTGTATGTGTGTGTGCGTGTGTGTGCGTGTGTGTGTGTGTGTGTGTGTGTGTGTGTGTGTGTGTGTGTGTGTGTGTGTGTGTGTGTGTGTGTGTGTGTGTGGGGGGGGGGGGGCGAAGGAGCTGCGACGCAGCCTTTCGCCGTGGCTCCATGGTCTGCGCGCGGCAGCGCGCGCTGCAGGATTGGCGAGCTCCTGCAGATCTCACCGCGCCAGGCCTTCAACAATCCATGCCAGTTTTCACGGGGCACGCAGGTCTGGGGGCCGATCCCGAGGCAGTGGTCTTCATTGCCAGAGGCATTCCACGGGCAGCTATTTTTTTTCCGCCAGCGATGAGAAGCAGCGCGCGTGGCCCATGCAAACCCTCATCAACGCCGCCGCCGTGGCCCTGGCCCCCCCGCCAGGAGGAGGCCGACCGATCGCGCTCGCCCGAGGGCAAGGCCGGCTCTGGAGCGCCGCGAGGAAGCGGCCCGTGCAAGTCTGGGGGCGCCTCGAGGATGGATTCCGGGGCCCCGCGGAGAAAGGGAGCAGCCCCTTGAGAGCAGCAGTCTCGCGGCGACTGAAACCAGAATCGCGTGGCCTGCTCGACGTCGGCGCAGTTTCTATGGGGCGCGGCAAAAGGCAATGGTTATACACATCCAGAGCTACCCGCTGCTCCAGCGATGGGCCTGGACTATCCGCCAGTCCTTTCTTCCTTAGCCGCGTCGCCACGCGCGGCAGACCTTTGGCCGGCGGTTGGCGCGAGCAGAGCTCTCCATCATCGCAGGGTGCTGCGCGCGCGGGACACGCTGGGCGCAGTCGCCCCCTCGACAGAGTGCCGTCGGCAGCTGGGTGGGCCTCCTGGCGCAGTTGAACTGAACGTTGGAACGGCGTCGGGGGCCGCGGGCCGGGCCACTTCAGTCGCGCGCGCACTCGCCGCCAGCGTGCGAGCCAAGAGTCCGCGGATCTCAGGGAAGTCAGTAGGCTTGGCCAGCCGCCCTCAGTTCGCGCGGAGCTGAAGAAGAATAGGTTGCGTGAGTATAGCCTGCCGCTAATTGCGAAATTGCCAGCGCGTGGTCTCGGAGCGAGCGCTGCTACTTCCGCGAGGGCCCCATGTCAGAGCTAGACAGCAAAAAGCCACCGGGGGGGCCCTTGGAATCACGACCCTGGGTAAAACCAATCGGGTGGCCAAAAAGTTGGTCAAGACTGGCCGGGGGCCACGGGTGTCTTTGGGCGCGGCCGAGATCCTGGCGCGCGCGGCGCCGAGTGGTCCGGGGGCTGCGCCGCCGCCGCGCCGCGTTTAGTTTGGGCAAGCGCGGCGACCCTCCTGTCTGCGTGCCCTTGGAGCTTCTGCAGGCCGGGCAGGGCTGCCTCCCTGAGATTCTCGCGCGGCGCAACGTCATTAACTGGACCTGGCAGGAGAGTCTCGACAAGTTGCAAGGAGCTGAGCATCATTGGCTACAAGTGAAAGGGGCACATGTCGGCCGTGCAGCCCAATCGCCCAGGAGAGTGGGCCATGCCAGACGGTTCTGAATTCGGCGTTGAAGGAACCGATGGCCCTTGCAGGCCGGGCTCGGGAGTTGAATCCTCCTTGGGGTAAGACGCGCGGGCCCAAACCAGTAAGCATTTCGTGGGCTCTGGAGCTGAGTTCGTGGTTGACTCGATTGTGACTTGGGGCTATCTTAGGCTTGACTATAAACAATGAGAATAAGAAGAGCGAAACGTACAAGGAGGTCAAGGGCGAAACCATGTGGTTGATGTTCTAGAGGTGGTAGCTCAATGGGCCTCGTGGCCCCGCCTGCGTCGGCGTGGCAACGCGGTGCTCGGCGCCGCAGCGTGCCCGAGGTGTAGAGCACGCGCTTCGCCGTCAATTTGGGGACGCCCCATGCGTTGGAGACGCCCCCGAACTGGAAGACCAAGGATGGTTGCGTGAGCAAGGCAAAGTAGATGCTGAAACGCTCCCGTGGCCTGGCGCCCATTCTTTGGACCGCGCCCCCAGATGACACCCCTCAACAAGATGAGAACGCAACTCAAGAGGGGGAGTGGCCAGATGGGTGGGCTACTTTCAGGTTGCAATCCGATTGGTGCACGGGCGGCGACGTTTATTTATTTTTTTTTGGGGGGGGGCGGGGGGGGGGGCGGGCGGGGGCGCGGCGCGGGCCCTCGCCTTCGCCGCGCGGGTTGGGCTTCCGTCGCCTGCATGGGCGAGGTGGCTCTGGCATCCAATCGCGGCGCAGTGTCTGGCTGGGCGCTGAAAGCGCCCCGAGCCGGGCTGCCGGCAACGCTCGGGGCGCCCCGGGCCACGCCTGGCGACGCCGCGCGCATTGTCGACGCTTCCCGCGTAGACGAGAGCGCCGAAAGAGGGTCCAGCTGGAAGCAGAAGGGCAACGCAGATCTTTGGGCATAATATTGCAAGGGGCAGGAGAGCGCGAGGGCACTCCCACAGCTTTCATGGTCAAAAGTCCCCGGGACAGGTCAGCAGTGGCAGGGCTCCACTTGGAGCATTGGTCTGTTATTCGTAGGGCCGGTGAGTTGGCGGACAGCTGCCCGGGCAGCGGTCCCGCAAAGCCTTGTTGGCCCAGTTAGGGGGGCGGAGAGGATGGTCTGAGTACGCAGAGGCACCCGATAGTGGGGCCCTAGAGCTGGCCAAACGCGCCAATCATTTTTACGGTGCCATTGCGCGCGCTGGTTTGCACGCTAGGCTTCTAGCTCAAGCCATGAGCCAGAGCATAGCAACAGCGTTTTCTGTGTTGATCCTCGCCCCGTATAATTCACCGCGCCTCCAAAGGATGGAGATGCAAGGCCTGCCTGGAGTCCGCAGGACAACGATCTTCGGCAGTGTTCTCGGCCTCGCCACGTTTGGGGCTGGCCATTGGGGTATTTCGCTTTGCCGCCTTTGCGGAACACAGGGGGCAGAGAGGTTTGTTCCCTTCGCCAGACAATGCGACAGGCGCCCTAGTAAGGGTGGCAAGGCCATGCTCGACGCAATCGGTCTTGGCAAGCTCCTCCAAGGAGTGGAACGTTGGTCTGGTGTAACAAATGTAAAACCCCCCTTCCCATGCAGGAGCAGCGACACCGTCAAGTGACCCTAGGCCGAGTACAGTCGGTGAAGGAGCCGCTTCCTCGCCGGAGCCTTTACAGAAATGCAGGCTGACCAGCTTGGGCCCGTGCGAGAGAGACCAGGAGAGATGTTCGGTGCCAGGCAGTTTGATGCTGAAAAACAGGTTCTCCTGCTGGAAAGGTCGGCAGAGACAGGAGGGAGGCCACCCCCGCAACTGCCCCTGGAGACTTCAGCTGGGTCGCGAGGAATTCCAGTCGTGGGGTCGTCTGTCGTGGTCGCAACTCGGTCAGCAGTCGGCCAGCTGAGGCGAGGACGTGCAGCCCTTGGCTACCCCTTCCCTTCTCATCTGTGCGAGTAGGAGTCGGGACGCACTCCGGCGAATGTGCTGATTTGCAAGGCGCCCGTCAGGCTGCAGCGTGCGCAGCGGCTGCTGTGTCCGGGGGGCGCTCGCTCGAGGGTCTCTGGCGCAGGTATCCCAACTCAGGGCCCTTTGCTTCGACACCCTCGGCCACGGCGCCTAGCTTGTTTCCGGACTTTACGAATTATATTTAGTCAGCTTCCGGTGCAAGTTGCTGGTCCTGGCTCTCGTCCCCTACCCTCGGGGTGTCGCACTTCGCTGTGTCGCCACCGCAGAAGGCAGCTTAGCAAATGGGGTCCTCCCTGTTCCTAGACACGCCGTGTCAGTTGCGTAGGCGACCTTGACGCTGGATGTGTGGGGGTTCTCCTGGGTCACGGGGCACATGTCTCCCCAGGGACTCTCCTTATATTACCCCTTAAGAGGTGCGAAGTGAACCTCGTTTGCGTTTCAGGTTGTAGCGCACGAGGAGGAGGAAGAGGAGGAGGAGGCGGAGGAGGCGGAGGAGGACGAGGAGGATGACGAGGAGGAGGGGAAGGACGAGGAGGAGGAGGCAACAGACGAGAGGAGACAGACCTAAGCCCGTTGCGGTTCCCGCCGTTAGACCGTGTCGTATGTCCATGCACTACCGGGTCTGGGAGCAGAGCGGGCGCGGCTTTGTGTATGGTGCCTCCGTGCGCCCGTGCCGATGCGGCACAGCACTGTGCGTGCACAGTGCGATCCAAGAGTTTGGGTGAGTGTGCGAGGGTAGGATGCCGAGGAGTAAATCATAGAGGAGGGTGGGGGCCTGGAGAGCACGGAAAAGGAGTCGGTCGCGAGGGTTGAGGAGGAGCTGGCCGTTCTCATCACGCGGTTGTTTCACCAGGGGATTCGAGCGTGGATTCCTCCCCGCACCTTCCCCCTCCATTCTCCTTCCTCGCTCCTCCATCCTCGCTCCTCCTCTAGGTGGTGTGAAGAGGTGTGAGGGTGGAGGGAGGAGGTTGGTAACATTAGCTAGAGTGTCAACGTTCGACGTCGCAGGCCCCGCATGGGTGAGCCTGCTTGCCCGACTGCGATTTCCGAGAT